GATTTTCAAATCTCACCATAAGTTTACAGGGCTGTCAGTTAGAAAAGACATTTTAACTTGAAAACTGACAATGTTTGACATTGGATAAGAGACACAAAGAATGAACTCACTGTAATGTTTTTTTAAAGAGTAGCTTTTCAAAGTATAATCTAATTTTAACTCTTCACTTCTGTATTGTCATTTGTGCAACAATCCTAATTCAACAGCATGAGACTGCCTGTACAGAAATTCTTTCATTGTACTGAAAAAACTTTGAAAGTTCTATAATTTAAATCCTTAGTTCCTAAAATGCAAGTTAAAATAGAGCGCTTACCAATTTTTAATGCACATTCTAGTGTTCCAAAAAGCAAATTAAGTCAGACCTAAGTAAATAAAAGACGGCACTACCTACTCATCACAATCCAACGATCAAAGAATCCACACACAAGAAGCCCTATGATTTTCTTTACAGATGTTATGTGGCCACAGTATAATGCATCATCATCATATGTAATAAGTTGCATACTGACCTAAATTGTTGTGTGTTGACACAAGGATACAATACTACATAGCATGCCAATGCCTTCCTACATGTGGAAGAACTGAAATGCAAGTTCATATATGCACACCCAACTACACCTGATCAGAACAAAAGTCTTAAATAATTCATAGTATTGTACAATTCTACTAGGATATGTAGCCAGGAATCATTAGGTAAAGTCATATTTTAACTCCTGGTTAGCTATAATTAAGAATCTATGTCTTAAGTATTAGACAAGCCAATAATTTCCTGCTGTTCAAATATGTCCACAGCATTTCATGGCAATGTGGTACTGGGCAAAAATTAAAAAAATAAAAAAAAATAAAAAAGCCATTTAAAAAGAAAATGTATTAAAAAGACACACTTTTATATAAGTTCTGTGACATCACACTGCAGAAAAATTAATGACACTCGTGGGAAGAATAAAATATAGATGTATTTAGTTTACCCAGAGATAGAATAAGTAAGAATTTTCAAGTCCAATTTTTTTAAATAAAATAATCCTCAACTGTCTTCTAATCTCCAAAACAGCTGGATTAGCACCATTTGCAGTTTCTAAGAGACAGTGGCAGGGAAGCGATGACATTTAAAAATAGAAAGCCATGTTATGACCTTTGTTAAATTCTGAAGCTGAAGTGAATTAAGCCACACCAATGCAACTATATTGGCACATGAAAAAGATATTCCATAAGCAAAGCTACATTAAGAGAGTGGTAAGGTTGCACTGTTAGAAACTCAGAAGTCAAGATAGATCATAGTTAAGCTTATATATGCAACTCCACTATGGCTCCTTGTACATACACGATATTATGGGTTTTAAGATGATCGGGTACCACAATGACAGGTATGGCATAAGAATCCAATCGGCAAAATAAAAAAATAATAAAGAGGAATATATAAATCATATTCTAAAAAAGTTTGCAATGAATGGGATAAGGGAGATTATATCTATATCTCTTTTCCATATAAAATAAATACTTTAAAAACATTCAGTTTGCAAAGCCAACCACTCGGAAGACAAGAAATTCTAGAATTAAGATTGCCTGTTCCTGATGCAGGGTTGCATAATCAATGAGGCTGTTTGCAGGCCCTTTGCCTCATTCTTAGTTTTATTTTATTAAAATAACTTGAAAAAAACACTCAGAATTTCTGTTGTGTGCAATCATAAATAGCCCTCACATATTATTCATCATCGGGGTTCAAACAAGGATTTCAAGACCAACAACACAGACCTCTAACCACTTAAACTAAAGGAGTAACTTCTCTGATAGGCTGTTATCTTCAATGTGGACCACCCATTAGAGAAGAGAGTGATACTTTAACAGATTTTAAGGCCAGAAGGGACCATCATCTAGTCTGACCTCTTTCAAAATACAGGTCATACTTTCACCCAGGTTGAACAAGTTCTACTATGCTGTACAAATGGCAATTTCTCCTGGCTGTTCATTAATTTGGCAGAATCTGGAGTGATTTTCACAGGGATAGCAAAAGGCACCTTGCTATCCCCCTATGAAATTTTAAGTTTTTGCTCTACATTGCAAAAAACGCTTTATTATTAAAAATTCTGAACCCTTCCTGCACCATCAAACATTGCTTAGTGGACAAACAATTCTGTGCCATTTTTGTCTATCCTGACTCGCTCTTTGCATGTCCTCTGTCATTCAGTCCCATAAGTTTCCCTATGAGTGGTGTTTGGAGGCATTCCTTTGGTCAACCCTTTTTGCATATTCTTCCAGCTGTCCAATAGCACACATGACATGGTAGACTCTCTGGTTTCATTCTTAACATGTCTCAGATATATCCATCTTCTTTTCTGGGAACTTCACAAATAAAAAGGTGCTGAACTCTCTGACAAATCATGGTATTTGTTATACATTGATTCCATTTAATACCTAGTGTTTTCCTAAGGCATTTGTTTTGCATGGCATTTAGATATCTGTCTGTACCATTTGGTGGATTTCCAGTTGTCACATCCTTACATTAAGATAGAACCAACATTTGAGTTGAAGATTCAGTTTGTTCTTTAAGTTGTAGATTTTTTTTATGACCAAATCTTGTTTAAACTGGTGAACACAGCTTCCACCAGGCCAATTTGTGATGTTATTTCCTTGTGAGCATCGCCACTGATTTGCACTTTACTATCAAGGTATGCAAGTTGACTACCTTCTTGTATTCCTTTGCCTCATAAATCAAATACTTGAGTTGGGCGTTGCTGGGTTTCTCAAATTTACTTTTCATAAGTAAGTATTAACCCTGTTTTTTGCAATGCTGGACAGTCTTCCAGTCTTTACTTGCATATTGGCTGAACTGTCATCGAAAGCTATGTCAGTAGCAAAATCGAGATCTTCTAGAGTACTGTTGAGACGTGATATCTGTTCTGAATGTGTTACGTTTTTGGCAATGCCAAAAAAAAAAAAAAAAAAAAAACCACAACCACCACCACCACCACATGAAAACAAAAAACACAAACCAAAAAGCCACACTTTGGCAAAGATACTTATTTTCCCCTAACCTCGCTGTTCAAAACAGTTGAACTGTTTTTGTTGAAACTATTAAAAAGATTCAAACTGAGGCAGAGACCAAACATGGAAAATTTCACCCAATGTTTAAAATTAAAAGCAATTGAAAATGGGGATTTATAGTTGGAAATGTTAGGTAACCTTATCTACAGGCACTGCTCCACTTCATACATACACAAAAAATAGAAAGAAAAAAGAATGTATGCAATTCACAGGCATGTTCTCAAAACTTTTTAATAGATATTTTTATGGTTTCCTACCTATCCTCAAAGATGGGGTGAGGGAGGGAGGGGAAAACATTCCATAACCTGGAACTATATGACTAGACCACCCAGTTGTGGATGAGAGCCCATAGAGCGCTACCTCGTTCAATGGACACCTTTGGCAGCACACAAAAATCACTCTACACCTAAATTAATCAGATATGTATGCACAGTACAGCATTTCTTCATTTAGAAGTTTCATAATAATAGCTAAGTGGAATTGTACAACTGGAGAGAGTATTTTCAAAACTAATACCACAAACAAGACCCAGTTTTCATTGGAACACTCAAAGTGCACTTCCCTCCTCACTGAGAAGTATTTCCCCAACTACTTTCAAGTTGCTAACGCCAGCCATTTTGACATTAGCGCAATAGAAAAAGCCAAAATAGTTTATTTAAAACAAAACCAAAAAAAAAAAGCTATGCAATAAGGGAAAGCATTTTGTCCCATTCTTCTCTCTCTCTCTAAAGTGGCTGAATCATTTCATTCAAATTAAAATAAAATTAAATATATAAATAAAAAGTCACCCTCCCTGATAGTGACCAGACTTGGGAAGTTTCAACCCAAGAAGTTAAAGTTTTACCACACCTTAAAAGAAACATGCACACAACCTTAACTGTAGCTGTGATTAGTGCTCCAGCTATAAACCTGATACTTGAGTGGGGAGATATAGTAATATGAACATTCTGAAACAGAGCAAGCCACCTTTTTCAATTTCACTTCAGAAAGAATAGCAGAACTACAAGAGGCAGTAGGTTCATTTAGTTTCCTATCTACATTTCAGTGTTCGGTACAATGAACCTAAATGTTGGCAGGACCCATGACATGATACTATTCACACAGTGTCAGTACTCTACTGCAGCTAGATTAGCCATCTCTGATGATCATGAAAAGCATGACATATTGCAAGGAAAAGAAGGAAAAATCTGAACACCTGCTGATACACATCACTGCACGTCTTAGTTCATGTGACTCAGTTCTGGCATTTTCTGCATCTCCACAGAATTATAAAGTACCATTTTGAAATACAATTATGAAAGGTGAAATGGGAACAGAAGTACCATAGGAAACTAATTTCTTGTACAATTTTCCAAATTTGAGGTTTAGAGTAGATGTAATTCAAACAAGCAAAGTGCAGCCAATTGAGGGATTCCAATGATTCACATATTCCTATAATATGGCCTTTCATTAAATAACCAGTGCACAAGCATGAAATGCTTCCTTTTCAACAAGCAATAACATGCTCAATGTTTTTAGCTAACCAGGAAAGCTTTACATTTCCATTCTGGTAGATTTGTGAGTGTTTTTTGTTCCACAGAAAATAAGGTGGGGTTTTTTTTGTTTTTGTTTTTTTAATTTCTCCGGTATGTGACAAATACCACTCTGAGCAAAGAGGGGGAAAATATTGAAAAGGACATTTTTAAGATATTTCCAAACATTTGGAGAGTGAGGGAGGAGCTGGTGGCTCTATCAGTCTTGTGTTCCTATAACACGGACTGCTGGCTGCTTTATTCAGCTCCTTCTTACATTTGCAGATATCATTCCAAAGGAAGTTGAATTTTTAGCAAATGACAGTAAAAACATATTCCTAAATTATGTTTTACTGAAGAATTTTTAGGTAGCAAGAAAATTTGCTGTGGATGAGTTTGAGGGTCTTATATTTAGGTTACATTATAAATCCACCCATCTGTCTTTACCTCTCTTTCTTCCTGCTCCCTCTGCTGGAGTCTGAGGATCCTATGGTTGGCTGCTTGCACTGAAACAAACAAATTGGAGTCTATTAATCAGCTGCCCTAGCTCAAAGAGAAACCTGACTGAAAGAGGCATAAAACCCATGAGGCTACTGGGACACTATCACTGTACACAAAAAGACTGTGGGTTTTGCCCACTGGGGTCACTTACCTTTGGATTGAAAAGTCTTCCCAGTATTTGTAGGAAGCACTCTACAATGCTAACTATGTGGACTTAGAGCACTAAGTTGTACCCTTGGGCTTTCTAGAAGCCAAACGGGAAAGGCAGCCAAGTCCTCCTGTGCCCATATTCCATAATATTGCTGACAAGTTACTGTGCGCTACTCAGCACCGCAGAAAAGATCTAGAAGTCTTGTAAACCAATAACTAGAACCAAATGGAGTGAACACTAAGTTTTGGTTGTTTCTTTGTTACTTATTTTTTTCCAAATATAAATGATTTAGTAAAAAATTATATAAGGAGAACATTTTTAAATTGGAGCTAGTCTCCTCTACATTGTGATCCTAGCTCTACCAAAATGTGTTAGCAACAGTGGTAACTGTATTTCTAGCCAGTTTCAGACTCGTTTGACATCATATTCCATACATGCTGTGCACAGTGGAACAGACTCATCTTTCCCCTCAACAGGTGTCTTGCATTCAATAACACAAAACTTAGTTTCCTGAAATATTTATCAGTCACTCATTTATTCTTATAATCATTAAAGCAGTAGTACTACCGTATAGATTACACAGCTAAGCACTCAGAAGTCAGGTAATGGCAATTTCAAGGTTGCTATGCCCCCTAGTGTGTATATATTTGGATACAGGCTTTATTTACATGATTGCATTCTTTGAGTAGTAGTATGCAAAGTATAAATATTTTTCTACAATCTTTACTACACGTGTGTAGTATCTCCTTCTGTGTACTACTCTATATATGCCAGAGACCATGCTTATACATATTACAAGTTGATTATAACAAAGTGAAATATTATTGACATATATAAACTACCTAATTTTACAGCTAGATTGAATTTTGTAGTTAATTACCTAATCCCAATTTGTGTCTAAGAAAGGTTGTGCTGCTGGCTGAAATGAAAGTATAAAATACAGAGGCACTGACAAAGCTAGTAAAATATAGACCTTAGAAGAGAGCACATTACATAAAATCTACACCATAAAAGATATAATTGGATGGTTATGACTAGGAAACTAGCACTGTATCCACATACAACATATCTGTATGCAACTTAAACAAGTTGCAAACAAAAAATGCATTTTTGCTCCATTTTGGCCCTATCCAATTCCTGTTATGTTACTTTAAAGCCCTTCCATCGACTTCAGTGGGAGTTTTCAGACCTTAAAAATGCAGCCAAACTTACTGTACAAATGGGAGACAGTGAAGCTTGGTAGATAGAATACTGGAGGAGTGCCCTGAGTTCAATTCCAGGGTCTAACATTGGTCTGCGGGGTTACCATGGGCAAGTCACTTCATCTCTCTGAACCTCCATTTTCTCAATCTTTAAAATGGAGATAATGATCTCCTTTGTAAAACCATACCTTGAGATCTAGGGATGAAAAGTGCTCTAAGAGCTTTTTTTAAAAAACATACACACAGTGTTGTTTTACAAAGGAGATCATTATCTCCATTTTAAAGATTGAAAAGATGAGGCACAAAAAAGTGAAGTGACTTCCTGTGATCATCCCACAGGATGTCAGAGCCTGGTATTGAAATCAGAGCACTGAAGTTCCAGTCCAGTGTTCTATCTATCAGGCAACATTGCCTCCCATTTACATAGTAAGTTGGGCTGCACCTTTAGGATCTGAAAACTCCCACTTAAAAGTCAGTAGAAAGGCTACAAAGTAACATTAACAGGAACTGGATAAGACCAAAGTAGAGCAGAAATACACGTTCTGTAAGTCTTTTTTAAAGTTGCACAGAGCTGAGAATTAAACATTTGCATGTATAAGGCTTATTATACAATAGCAATTTTAGCAAGGATCATATATTGAGTTCAAATTATTTGAAATTATTCCTTTTAAAATACTACACCACAAAAAAAAAATAGCTTCTTGCTTACATCTCTTCAACACTTCATTCAGATCGCCATGCATCACCTCCTCACATTTAGGGAGAGTTTGGCCATTTGTCTCATAGATCATGGTGTTTAGGTTTTCAAGAACTCTCACTTCTCGGAGGCCACGTTTTTCCTGTTAGGAAAAGTAAAAAAGGAAAGCTCTTCATGTGTTACATAGGTTTTCATTAGCGGATACTCATATGAAGCTATTTGTAATTATTTAGCTCTAACTGGAGTTTTTAAGGTTTGTAATAACATATCACACTGTTCTTAAATAGCTAGAATATGCCTCAAACATTTTATTTAGTTGGAGTAAACTACAGCTGGAGACCCCACTAGCTTTAATGTCATGCATACAAAACAAACAGAAATCAAATGGATAATTAGGTGGCAATCATGGGTTAATATGAAAATCCATTTTGCAGGTATAATGTGATTCCCAGGTTAACAAACAATTAAGTTTAACACAGTTCATCACAGTGAATGAAAGAGATCACTGCCACTTAAAACATCACATCTGCTTATTTACAAGCTTTATTAACAAACGTGAAAGTCCCCTTCTTTCTTGTGCAATGTAGCAACACCGCTGTTCCCTGTGACAAATGTTGAAGTTATTTATAACATAACATATGATGGATTGAGAAAACATAGTAATTTAGATATCTGAGATTTATAATAAGGGTTGGGTATGGCAAGAAAACTGAAATCATCACACGCTTATGCATTTGATTAATAAAAGATTACAGAACAATTAAATGATAATAGTTCTACCTTTTGATAGCTTTCACTTTTAGTTTAGCAATGTGATAATACTGGCAGTGTACATGAACTGACAAAGATCCAGGGCCAAAATCAAGGCAAGTAAGATTTTGACACCGAAGTATAGTGATGAAATCAAAACTAAAGGATAATGTAATGCTAATGACTAAACAGGTGGCATCTCTTCTGAACTCATTGCTGATCAGCAAACCCAGTGCTAATGGCATTTTACTAATTGAGCTGCCTAGGCTCTACTGCTTAAGCTTTTTAAAATAAAGCTTCCGGCAACACAGCACCACTATGCCCTTGTTTTTCCAATGGCGTTTTGCTCTTTTTAATTATGCTTGATCTGCAACACAGGACCATCCCAAGAAATCAAAAATACACAAAGTTATCCTGGATTTTGTTGTAGCTTGGTCTTTACATTTTGGCAGGTAGAGCTGCAAGTAACCATCCCTCTATTGTAATTTGCCAATCACCAGCCTATACAATAATGTATAATACAGCAACCAATAATACTCTTACATAGTACTTCATAAATGTGGTCAAGCATCATTATTCCCATTTTAAAGATGGGGAAACGGAAATGCAGACAGGTTACATGACTTGCTCTAAGAGTTACGAATAGAAACCAGATTTTCTCATCCTTAGTCCAATATTCACTAGATTACAATCCCTCCAAATATGAAACTCTTATCAGTGAAGGATGTTAGTGTTCTCACCAAAGGTCACTATTTAGTGTATGCTAGTTTATCACTTAAAGAAAACACCCCTCAGACCTGAAGCACTAGACCACTCCACAAAACTATAGATAAGTGTCAGCTTTTGAGGAAAAACTCTAAACTAAAGCCATGTTTACACTAGTGAACTTACAGCGGCATAGCTGTGGCAATGCAGCTGCGCTGTTGTAAGCTCACTCATGTAGCCACTCTATGACATAATTAAACTACCTCAACGAGCAGCAGTAGCTATATCAGTGGAAAAGCGTCTCCTACCGATACAGCTCTGTCCACACCAGTGCTTATACTGGTGAAACTTACGTCACTCAGGGGTGGGGGTTTTTCCCCACACTCGAGCAACATAATTTATGCCAACAAAAGAGCTAGTGTAGACATAGCCTACATCTAAGCCTTACTGCTTTAAGTAAAAGTGAAAGTGTAAACTATCCTTTGCTTCGATAAAAGAAAGGGTGGTTCTTACTAGAAGGATAAGAGTGATGGAAAAAAATCAGCTTTCCAGCAAGAATTTAAGGATACTTGAAATTAGCACAATGAAACCTTAGCTGTAATCTGACAGCTATGTTAATTTAGTTTGCTTCTGATCAAGCCCTAAGGCTGGAAAGTCTATCCTATCCTTGTAGTCCCTAACTTAAATTGAAGTGATAAATCCTCTGAAGAGCTGCACAGGACATTTATGTATTAGAGACAACAGTTATTAGTTAACTTTGGTGAAAAGCAATTTTAAAATGTGTGTATGGAGCAAAGTGGGCTTCTCCTGGCAGGAAAAATGGATATAAATTTCTAGATTTGTCTTGTCAAACTAGCATGGAGACAAATTAAATCCACTTAAAATGTAACTAAAAATGGCATCTTGTTTTTCCATCAGATCTGCATCCTGCATGTTTAGATTTATAGCTACTTTTTCTATTAGAATTTAAGAGGATAAAAGTTAAAGGGCATACCACCTCTGTGATGCTGGCAGACCAGGTGCTAGCTCATGCCAAGGCCCCTCGGCTTCACTGAACATTGACAAATGCATAGCTAGAAACCAGTCTGCCTCGCCTTTGTTTTAGTATTGCTAAAATAGATATCAGAGTCATAAGAATGTGTTTAGACTTCATGAAATGCTTGTAGGATGCTGCATATATTAATCTTACTTATAATACCTGTATCCTATGCTATAAGGTAATATTTCCATGTTTGCTTTGTAACTATAAAAGTTTGTGAAAACTGTAAAACCCCACAGTCAGAGGAGAAGCATTACCAAGTATGAAATACTAGTTCATCACAAGAGGTATCATCTCGTCCCCAACAAAAGAAGACCAATAGATATCAGACAAGCTATTGTGGAACATCAGTGGACAAAAAAAAAAAGAACTGATTGCCCCCCCACACACACACACCCAGAAAGTGAAAATGTGCATAAACTCTAGTCCCATCAGTTTGAGGTCTATGGGAAGGGGATAATAATTTTTCTTGACAAGAGATTTTTAATCCCTGTGCTGCTAGGAATTTGGAGAGGGCAATATTTATAAATATAAGATAGGGATCCCCAAGCTGCTTGGCTTGGGTTAACCCTAAAGGACATACAGAGCTTGCATATTATAGCAGCTTCTGTTGCCCTTTAGAACCTAAAACTGTATCTCATTTGTGTGTATGCTTACCTTCTTTAACTGTTTAAATAATACTCCTGGGAGAATTCTGCACCACTGCGCAATGCAGAATTTTGCAGAAAATGTTGTGCACACAGAATTTCTTTTCCCCCACAGAAATGAGCTACAGTGCCGCTGGACCCGGCAGAGCCCAGCTCACACATAGAAGACACTGCCAGGGGAGAGAGATAGAGGGTTCCTGGCAGCTACAGTTCCCGCTCGCCCTGAGGGAAGGAGATGGCAGTGCGCAGGAAACTCCACACAAACCTGGGACCAAGTATCAGGCTGTTTCTCCCTCTGGATCCCTGGGCTCTGGGGAGGGAAGAGGTGCAGGTACCTGGGGAAGGGGAGGCCCTGCAGCTGGGCTGTAGGTGTGTGTGTGTGCGGGTATCTGGGCTCTGGGGAGAAGGGGGTGTGGGTGTATGGTCCCCCAGCTGGGCTTGGAGGGGCGAGGGGGGGAATAGAGAAACAGGAACTGGGTTGTCATAGGGGTGTGTTTTAATTCTCTACTCCTGGAGGAATTTGTGTGTGTGTGTGTGTCTGTATTGTTACAGACATACTTGCTGACAGGTATTTTGAAATAAATTACCAAAATAATTGAAACTGGCATGATTATGTAGTGTTATTTTGACACATAAAATTTGCAGAATTTTAAAATATCATGCACAGATTTTTTAATTTTTTGGTGTAGAATTCCCCCAGAAGTAAAATAACTCATTTCTTTTTCAATACATCTTTAGTTAATATTATAGGGTTATCTACAAACCTTGCCTTTGATTTGAGATCTGAAGTTCAGTTGACCTGGGGCAAGTGACTGGTCCTTTGGGACTGGGGATCAGTTGGGATTTTTGGTGTAAGGGACCATCTATCACAAAGGCAGGCTTGCGTGGGTGGCAAGATAGACTGGAGTGCCAAAGGGGACTGTCTGTGACTTTATGTCAGGCCTGCACAACTCGTAAAGCGGCGAGGGCCCTATTACTCCAAAGAAAACAGCTGAGGGCCGAAATGCCCGGCCCCGCCGACCCCCCACAGCACCACCCAGTCCCTCTGAAACACAACAACCCCCCCCCAGCGCCGCCTGCCCCACGGAAACAACCCCCCCCCAGTGCCACTGAAACACACACACACACACACC